GGGGAAGTGTTGCCATGCTATCCCCCCACCCAACGCTTCCACAGAAACACTGAGAGCTTTAACTATGTTCCCTGCAGGTGGAAAGTTCAGGTCTGACTCCTACCAGGCAAGGTGAAGGCAACCTGCGGCCACAGCATTCAGCTAGCATTTGGTTCAAGCTGTACAGTCACAGGTGTCTGGACAAGGGATCTACAGCACTCTCCCATGGACCATGTGAAAACAGCATGGGGGAAAACCTGTGTTGGGTGGTGTCTCAGATCTTGCCCATAGGCCCACCCATAGAGGCAAAGAGACCCCAATAGCACAAAGTTCCTTCCTGGAGAAAAGAACCTGGGCCCGGTTCTAAGCCCATTCCTTGCTTGTGTCGTGAGAATGGCAGAGAGAATAATCTCCAAGAATCTATAAAGATTTCAAGAGAAGAAGGTTCCAGTTACCGCATTGAACATTCCCAGGTCCCAAGAGCACAAAGCCATCAGTTAATAAACTTCCCTGCCGTCTCCCACACCCACTCCCTTCCAGCTAGGCAGCAGAGGTACTAAAACCCTAGCAAGCTCCAGCCCTCATCCCATCATTCTAGCCTGAATTTGAAGAAAATTGGCTATGAGATCAAGCCCAGAGTTCTGATTTCTAACTCAGATGGGACATGCTATTTCTCATTGAGATTCTGTCTGAAGCCTAAAAAAGCCAAAGGTTTGTCTATTATTAATCATAAGCAGACAAATCTAATTTGGCTCAGACTCCTCCTCCAAAGCACTGATACTAATCCTTGGTAACTCATCTGGTATCTTAAATTTTTTTCTAAAGCCAAAGTCCATTCTGGGAGTCATTAAAATAGAATTGCCAAAGGTAGGCCTCAGGAAAGCATAGTAAAAAGTAAAATAATAACGAAAAGTCCCCAGTTGATTTTAATGTGCAACAAAGGATAGAATACCTCTCTGCTGGAAACAAAGACAGACTTCTCCTAGTAAGTCGGTATTGCAGGCACTAAATAACAAATATAAAATAAAGCTCATATGATCATCACAAGATGTGCTCTTCAGTAGACTAGAAAAATAAACATTACAGTTCACTAGATTTCATTCTGAAAATGAAAGTTGCATTTTATGCATGAAATATTCCCACAAACTAACCAGAGTTGAGTTCAGTTCTTAAATGTGGGATTCAAAATGGCCAAGGATATCCCTGGAGTTTGGAAAAGTCCTTTCTTGAGAAAGAAAGTTACTGAGAAGTAACTATCCAGGTTTTCAGTAACCAACAAATGCAGAAGGCATTGGGTCCCACTGACATCTAAAGATCGGATCGCACCTATCCTTCATATTAACACCCTGGGTGGTCCCAGCAGTGAAGTCTAAATGACCGCAGCACCCTCAAAAGACATCATCTGGAATCTTGGTTTGCCAGGCTTCTTTCTCTAAGGGCTGCCTGACATCCTCATATTCTGTGAATGGCACCCCTGAGCCAGTGCTGGGCCAATGCTGGCCGCACCATCCTTCCTCCAAGTGGAGAGCACAGCACCTGCTACCCACGCTGTGTTTCCATACCACTCAGTAGCAAAGACAATCAGGACTGACATTAAGTAGGGTCAGTCCATCTTCTCCCATGGTCACCAAGTTTGGTTGTAGGGAATTTTAATTTGATTTTCTTTACATTTTGATTTCTTTCAACACTCTTCATTCTCTGTTTTCAAAGATGCATTCCTAAGCAAAGTGACCATCCCTGGAAATCCATTCTAAACTGAATGAGAAGCAACTACTCTTCAAAACACCAGGTTTGCAATGTTAATTCTTCTGGTTCTGCTGCCTGCTTCCTTCTTGTGATGGTTTGGATGGGAGGTGTCCCCCAAAGGCTCACATGTGAGACAATGTAAGAAGGTTAAGAGGAGAACTGATTGGGTTGTAAGAGTCTTAACCCAATCAGTGATTTAATCCTCTGATAGGGATTAACTGAGTGGTAATGAAGTGGAAGGGTGTGGCTGGAGGAGGTAGGAACTGGGGCATGGCTTTGGGGTATATATTTGTATCTGGCAAGTGGAAACTTCTCTCCCTGCTTGCTGACCATCACATGAGCTGCTTCCCTTTGCCACACTCTTCTGCCATGATATTCAGCCTCACCTTGAGCCCCGAGGAATGAAGCTGGTCTTCTATGGACTAAGACCTCGGAAACTGTGAGTCTTAAAATGAACTTTTCCTTCCCTAAAATTGCTCTGGTTAGATCCTTTAGTCACAGCAGAGAAAAAAAAAAAAACTCACTAAAACACTTGTGAAACAGGAAACTTGCAATGTAATTAAAAAAAAAAAAATTTAAGAATCTCATCAAAAATCCTGGGAGTAAAAGGAGATGAAACTTTTTACCAAGAAGATTTGTAAGAGCTAAACTTCTTCATCAAGTACTACATGATGACAGCAGAAATACTAACGGACCGTAAAGCCATACTTGACCCGTTGTCCCTAACTTCAAAAGTACTATCAGGGAAAAATTCTTTGCTTGTTATTTGTTTATTTTCTTTGGTTTTAAAGGGGGTTAAGAAGGAAAGGAGGCAATTCTAAGAATGGTCATTATCTGAATGCTATGGCTATGAATCTCATAAGTACCCACAAAGATTACATCTCAGAAGCCAAGTGAGGTCAATCTTTAATTGTTCACACTGGTTTATGGCCCACTAGGGCCATATATATCCAATATCACCCTGAGCCAAGTCTCTATCATTTCCACTTTCATTTATTATTCCTTGACAGCTGGTCCTTGAACAAACAGTTAAGGAGGAAAACAAAACCCGTCTTGTCTAAAAGCAGACATTTGTATTTTAAGTATCTAATAAAAATGAATAAATGAACAAGGACAGAGAAAACATTTCATAAAATTTAGCTTAATTTTTGCTTTCTGTAGGTAAATAGTTATTTCTTTTTAGAAAAATAAACTTGAGAGACTCCAACATATTTAAATGCCTAAAAGCAATTCTTTACCATCACTAGCTAGGTAAAAACAAACAGAAATGACTGATAAAAACGAGGCCACATGGATAAGAGGAGTTTAGCTCTACCAAATATTAGCACCATATAGAAATGTTCAAAAGAAAACACATCAAAATCCCATCTAAAATAGAACCCACTGGCTTTAACTGTGCAGATATCAAAGGATGCAGACCTGCTGCTGATAGTTTTTAAACTCCAGACCTTCAGCCTGAATCAAGTTTCACCCCCAACAGTTTTAAAAGGCCTTGATGGTGAAATTCAAATAAAACCTGAAGTTTAGTGAATAGTAATGTACCAGTGTCAATTTCTTCACTGTGACAAACGTACCACAGTAACATAAGATGTTAACAATGGGAAAAACTGGGTGGGGGTTTCTGGAAATTCTCTGAACTATCTTTGCAGCTTTTCGGTAAATCTAAAATTACTCACAAATCAAAAATTTATTTAAAAACAAATTAAAAATTATTGTCCCAGATTTAATCCTGAAGCTGTTTGTCCCACAAATGTGCAGGAAGAAACACAATAATCTAGAGATTTGCTACAGTAAACAGAGCCAAGCTGCTGAACTCTCAATTAAGAAGATGACTGAATGGGAATGACTACAATGACCAGCGGGGTCTAGACATGGCTTGTGCATCCAAACATGGCTTGTGCTATGTGCTCTTGAAGGGCTGACTGTAAATCAAGCTTACATAATTCCAACCACATTTGAACTCACCAAGGAGGCATGCCAGTTGAAATGATGCTCAGTAAATACTAGGGTAATAGGAAGTTCTTCTTTAATAAGAATGACTTCACTCTGGCTTACTGTTGACAAAAGGGAGTTTTTTTTTTTTTTTTTTTTTTCAGGAATCAGTTCTGCCCATTGGCACTGCCCTGGGAGCCACATAGGTGCAAGCTGCCCAAGCAGCCCCTTGTTTCAGATCTCCATGTTTCTGTTTTCCCTTCCATCTGCCACGTCATCCTTGTGTGACTCTGACTAACTCACAGCTGCCATGTTGAGGAGTTCTATCTATGTATGGGTCCCAATATCCAAACATAGGCTACGGCCCTCACAATGGTAGCAAGCACGAGATGAGGGCAAAAAGATTGAGCGAATAGGGATAGTCATCTGAAGGACCGTTATCTGAAACAGATTATTTGACACATGGCAATCATGCTGGAGCCCACCATGAAACTCTTTGTTGGTCAGAGTGGACGCCTGATATTAACCATCCTCCCCCTCAAAAAAACCATTGGTCAGATAGGTACTATTCTCACTCAAAAAAAAAAAAAAAAAACCCTCAGGATTCAGTAAAACGATGGCTTACTCAGCTTGGATAAACAAAACAGTCCAGGATATTGGTTTCTGATCCATGAGTGAAAATGCAGGATTTTGAAAATCCGTAAATGGATAAGCAGCAAGAAAATAAATCTTAACTATTTCATAAGTCAATCAAACACAATTCATCTGTTTATGGTTTTGCCACTGTGGGTGTGAAATCTCATTAAACACTTGAGATAATAATAATAATGATAATAATAATAATAACAACAACAACAACAATAACAATAACAACAACTCTTTTCTTATGTACTACCCAAACACACTCATTAGTAATCTTGTATATATCAATCTGCTATTCAAATCATTCATGCTCCTATCACCTCCTTGGAGTAGCAAAAGTCCCTGCCCTTTCACTTGGCTTTGGCTCTATGACTTGCTTTGGCCAATGGCATACAAGCTGAAGAGACAGTGGAGCAGCCCTCAACTTAAGCCTAACAAAGCTCTGCATATTTCCAGTTGTCCTCTTATACCCTGCACTTGCCATAGAAGCAGGCCTCCTGGGTAGGTGTTTCTTCACACTAAACCCAGAATTAAGGCATGTGTAATAAAACCACCCAGCTGACCTGCAGACCCATAAACAAGACTAAATAATAGTGTTTTAAGCCATCAGGTTTGGGAATGGTCTACCTTATCATGATGTTGTCAATAGTTGAATGACATACCTAATTATTTCCCCATATGAACAAGTAAGAGGTACTTACCATCATCAATTCCAGGCCAGCCCATGAAGTGGGCAGAAATCTGTCTCTCATCTTTCCCATACTCATTCTTGGCTATTAAAGTGTAGTCCCCATTGTTCATGTGAGTAGGATTATCCAGCTGGAGGCAGCCATGGTACTCCGTATGATTGGTCACATGTATTTTAGTACAGATGTATTTGGACTCATTCAATATTGCCCCATTATAGAACCACTGAAGCGCTGGTTTGGGGTTGCCTTTCACAGTGAATGGAATGCACCAGTGGTGGTCTGAGGTTGGAGATTCGAGAAATGTGATAGTTGGTGCAACTAAATTGAAAAAAGAGAGTTAATAGCATCAGAAAGCTTAGAAATCTCCCCATCTCCAGATTTCTGTGTCATCAATAAGAGATTTTATTCAACCATTGTTCAGTTTAAGGAAACACATGACCAGTCAGTCTGGAACCCATCGGTATTTTGTGTTATCATCAAGGTTGATTTAACTTCCTAGAGAGAGCTTCAGAGAAACTCCTTGCTCTGCTCTACTCAAGACCCATACATCACAGTCATTTTTCAAAGCTAATCAGTAGACATGAGAACCAGCTCCAAATAGATCTGAGAGATTTCTGAGAGTGGAAAGGGCTCACTTGGCATCCTTGTTGGTTTCTAATATATTTGCCTTGGTATTATGTAGATTCATTACCAAAAATAATGAGGGGCACTGTTTTCATAATACTTCTTCCCTCAATAATCCAAATAACAACAAACTTTGGAAACTTTGAAAATTGTACAGGGAGCCCTGATCTGGCATGACTTTTCTAAAACTGATCAAACAGGCCAAAGAACTGATTGTAGCTATTGATAATGATTGAGATCTCCTTACACCTAGTCCAGTAGCTTTCATACTCTACTTCTTGGTTATACATGTTTATCAAATGAAACAGGGAAAATTTAAGGCATCAAAGCATAATGACATACTCTAAGTGGGGTCCCAGCAATGGTTATCTCAGTTGTTAATATTCTTTATTGTGAATTTTCTCTACTTTTTATCTAAATTTTGGCAGGTAAGGTCAGCTCTTCAGACCATGATGCCCATAGCTATTTACCTACATTGAGAAAGAATTAAGTCCAAGTGTTTAAACAGATAGCTGATAATCTGACGTCACCCTCTTGGTGCTTAAGTAAATCCTACCCAAGAAGAAACAAACCTGAAAAAGAACCTAGTTCACTTGCATCCTCTACAGAAAGATTTCCTGTTAACAATGACACTTCTCACAACTGAGCATATGTGCAGAAGTGTACTGTAATGGGAACCCTCACTATAGGAACTGCAAATTTACATGACATAAATTTGCAAAATTTGATCTTTTGTTTTAACAAATATTTCTCACAGACTTTAAAATAGTCCTTGGAAAGCAAAATAGCTTTTAATGAGTTATTCCTTCTATAAAATTTCAATTTAAATAGAATTGATGGCCTATATCCATTATGTTAAAAAAGGTGCATACACATATTTATAGGTATGTGTCACAACCAGTCACAAGGACCACAGGTTAGGGAAGGTCCACACTTATTACTTCATCCCACAAGCCCCTCCCCCATACCCAGGGCCCACTTATTCCTTCCTCTGGGTTCAAATGAGCTTTCAGTGAGGTGCTGACATTAAGTTGAAAGCTGGTTACATAGGAATGGGAATAACATTGACTTCAAGCTTTGAGGTAGATCAAAATGATTAAAAAATGTAAGTCCAGTACCCACTAGTTATAGTCATAGTTCTAAGACTTACAAAGAATCATGGTTGGTGATTTCAATTATTCACTCCAACAATCACACACTGAATGTGTGTTCTGAGTGTTAACCAGTATATTAAAACCAGCTATAGCCATGTAACTAACCATGTGTCATTTGTACACATACTTACACATGCACAGTCATTTTTTTCTCATTCAAATCCTAATCCAGAATAAAACCTCATTAATTTATACTGTGCAGCTCAGAATTTGCAGTGATGTGAAGTATCTATGTGATTTTCACTGACTATATTTTGATATTGAATGCCACAATATAGAATTTTAAGGTAAATATTATATGATTATAATATTAGAAAATAATGCACACATGCTTAACTAGAAGCATTGAAATCTTCTGCCTTACCTACAACATCCACATATTTGAAAATCTGCAGGTGGTAATAATTCTCAATAATATAAATAGGTCCCCTACCATACCGTAAGAAACTTGATGTCAAATTAATGAGGTTTTATAGTTTCAATCGCACAATTAGGTATTTGTGTATAGTCAGCAAATGGTTTAAGCATCACTATTATAAAGATTCATATTGATTTTATAGAGGAAAAGTTTTAAGAAACTATCTTTATCAGAATTTAAACTGAAACACTAGCAAGAGAATTATCAGCTCTATTCGAGACAACAGAAGACATAAGGCAACACGCTCAAGGTCAATAAAGAAGCTCAAAAGAAAGACAATGCATAAGCAAGAGATATAAAGCAGAAAAGAGGCTGAAAGAGTTGAAAAAGGCTGACAACATTTCATAGTTAAGTATGCACAAAACACTACAATACACTCATTTAAACAAACTTAAGAAGCACCCAGAGCTCCCCAGAGACAAATGTAGGAAAATCCACAATCATTTGCTATTAAAAACACATGATGGTCTGATTACGTACAATGCACAGTGAGGTTGACAGAATCTTGATCTTCTCCTACAAGATTTTCTGCCACACAAGAGATTTGCTTTCCACTGTCATCAGATGAAATATTAGTTATCCTTAAGGAGCCCTGTGTGTGGCTTGTTTCATTCTACAAATGAATTAACACAAAAATAACCTTGATTAGGACTGATCTCAAAGTGGCATGATTTGGGATCTCTTCCCCTAACTAGAGAAATACAGTAATATAAAATTAGAAAAATTTCCCTTCCTGAATCAGACTTAGACTCAGGTAAAGAGAAGTTGTTCTATTTCTCCAAGTGTCGATTGCTTAATGCAAGGCATTTCCTTAATCCTTGAATTCCTACCTATCTTTCTTCAAAAGAAATGACCACAAGGATAGTCATACTCTTTGCTAGAGATGACACTTAAGAGCTCACTAAGGATATAAAGACACTCCAAACTATATAACTAAAATGAAAATCTGCATTAATCCTTGCTTTTTAAGATTATATGGAACATAAGCATGCATCAAAAAAATCATCATAAATTTCTGCATGTGGGTCTATAAAATATCAGATGGTCATCACTAGGTTTATACAATATTAGGCTCCAAAACAGTCTTGTCTCTCTCATAATCAATCCTTACCATATGTTTGGAAACCAGATTTCCCACATCCCAGTACATATTAGGAAGTGGATCGCCTGCCACAATACAAGACAATGTGATAGACTTTCCTTCCTCCACAGTGAGGTTTGGTGCAGCCAAATTTGCGGATGGCAGCCCTATGGAACAAGAAGAGCAAACAGAAATATTGACAAGTTGTTAAATGCAATATCAAAATCATAGCAATAAATTGAGAATTCTTTATGGCTTAAAATCAATCATTTACTTTCTGAGACTAAAAAAGTGTCAAACTAATAAACTTTATAGAAGTAATTTGGACAAAAAAGTGTGCAGTAACAAGATTTGAAAACAAATTTTTATATTTCTGAAAAATACCTCTGTAGAAAAGCATTTTATTAAAACAAAAAGAGCCCCACTAATTTATAGAGCTATGTTCTACCTCTTTTCTGTTCTTCAGTTATTAATCTAGGTTTTTTTGCACATAAATAAGCACTGTACCTATGAGCCAACATCTTAACACATTTATTTCCCCCACTTCCTCCTATCTATACTTTCATAGTCAAAAACTCAAGAGCAAGATGCATCTGTATATTTTGCATAAATCTGTTTCTTACATTAAGTAACTCTTATAGATCTAACCCATGCTCAGCCCTATGGTTTAAGAGTCAGGCTATTGAAGAAAATGTAGTTTCAAAGCATTTTTCAAAGATGAAATTTGAATTATCATGGTGTTGGGATATCTCAAAGCTATATAAATCATAATTTTCACAGTTAAAATTGGTCATCCTATTTACAATATGATGGAAACAATTATATGAAACCTTATTACATGCAATGTATCTTTTGAGGGGAGAAAACCCTAAAAATGTATTTATTATCAGATAGAATTTTGAACCTTATAAACATTTTCTAACATTTTAGCAGAGCATCCTCTTCCTACTCTTAGGTTTCAAAAGGTTGGTGTTTTTCTTTTTAACTCATGCTGCTACCACTTCATCAGAGTATCATACCTATTAGGAATTTACATTGCTTTAAACTACATAGAAATCATAGTATTTTTTCTTTATTAAATTATTTATTTATTCTAATTTGTTTTACATGATGGAAGAATGCAATTCATTTCATATTACACGTATACAGCACAATTTTTCAAGTCACTGGTTGTATACAAAGTATTTTCACACCATTCGTGTCTTCATATATGTATATACCTTCATTCATATTGAAGGGCATCTGGGTTGGTTCCACAGTTTAGCTATTGTGAATTATGTTGTTATGAACATTGATATGGCTGTGTCCCTGTACTATGCTGTTTTAAGTCCTTTGGGTATAAACAAAGGAGTGGGATAGCTAGGTCAAATGGTGGTTCCATTCCAAGTTTTCCAAGGAATCTCCATACTGCCTTCCATATTGGCTGCACCAATTTGCAGTCCCACCAGCAATGTATAAGTGTGCCATTTCCCGCATATCTTCACCAACACTTATTGTTTGTATTCTTGATAATTGCCATTCTGACTAGAATGAGATGAAATCTTAGTTTTATTTGCATTTCTCTAATTGCTAGAGATGTTGAACATTTTCTCATATGTTTGTTGACTGATTGTATATCCTCTTCTGAGAAGTGTCTGTTCAGTTTCTTGGCCCATTTATTGATTGGGTTATTTTTTACATGAAGGTGGGTCTCAGAGGGAGTAGCAATATGACAGACCTTGACAATCAAACCAATCCCTTCCTTTGTACCAGAAACAGCTGAAGGCTTTATTTACCAACAACTGGGCCCCATGGGGCATTTGATATCATTAACTCAGAAGCAACGTGAAGGTCAGAAAAGACATTTCATTTTCAACAGCTGTTAAATTCTAATTAGCCACCCATAATCTGAACTTCACTTTGCTATGCACAACCCCTTCACAATGATGTAGTTCTTACTGGGTAAAGTCATGTTCTTTGTTATTGAAACCAGTCTGGAACAAGATTTGTACAGTGCATTGTCTCATGGCATTCCCACCATTGGAAGGAGACAGCCCAACAAGATCTGGCTTTCATGTACTGAAACCTCTTTGGAACTCTTTCTTCCTGTAAGCATTCAAGACAGAGTGATGTGTTGTCTTTCCCAAGTTTCAAAGAGGCCCAAAATACCCTGAGATACACAGGACATAACCATTTTCAAGAGAAAGCACAGTAATGGGCCTACAACCCTAAATCTGGACCATGCTAACCATGTGGACTTGGGTGAATCATATTTTCCTCTCTGAATGTATTTCTTCATGACTTCTGTGACAATTAACCCATTTACTAAGGAGCATGCCCAAGCACTAAAGTCAGTGGTATGATTTGGGTAACATCTTAAAAATATGTTTTATTTTCTTTTTTATCCAAACATGTAGTCACATAGTTTGAAAATATATGATTCTACAGCATTTGTCAGGAAAAATATTCAAACTACTATGTGAAAAACAGGAGTCCCACCTTACCCAAATGGTACTATCTTCTGCTTCCAGAGGTGTTCATTTCATCTCTTTGAATTTCTTCTTCTGGTATTGGTCCCCACCTCACTAAATATCATGCTTACTAAATATCATGCTTATCTAGGTTGCTACTTCTTAGTTTCTCTGTTTTCATGCTATCTACTGACTTCCCATCATAGAGGAATAGAATTAGACTATGTTCACAGAGAATACCAGCCTTCCCCACATGTCTACACCAGACTCATCATGATCCTGTCTTCACATCTTTCCTCCTGCTAACACTGTAACACTGTCTAGATGAGAAGGTAGACTTTATTATGAGTGTATAAGCTTTACTGATAGCTGAATCATCTAAAATATAATAATTATTGTATTTCATCAAACTTAAGACAGTATTAATGAGAGGATGCAATACTGTTATATGTACCACTAAGAAAGAAAGAAAAAAAAAGATGCCAATTCAACAGTGAGACAATGCTTTGTCACCACTTAGAACACCTATTCTTCTGAATAGTCCATCTAATTTTCTAGTTCTTTCTATCCAATTTTTCATCTTGTGTCTGTTACATTTAAAGGAAAATCACTTCAAGTATACATTTCAGACATTCCTGTAATTCTTTTCATTCATCTAATCATCCTTTTAGTCTCCAAGACTCTTTTTCTTTCCTGAATATTCTCTTTACATAGCACCTAGTTTTGTTCCATGTGTGCAAACTCTCTTCTGATCTCAGATATTAATAATGATTTTTAAAATTTTTTCTTCAGTCCATACCAAGTTTGTTTCTTACAATCTCTTTGCCTCCTCTCCTTGATTATTTGGTGTTTGTCTTTCATATTATAAGCTTCTCTCAAATATTTACTGACCCTTGGATGTTCATATATCTTTAGGAAAAAACTGCATATTTATTAACAGTCAGATTCACTGAAGAGAAATGTTATTGGTCTCTTTATTGAGTACAACCTGATTTCAAATCATTAAGCTATTTTGAGGAAGGACTAGTCAAATTATTTGGTCCACTGGAATAATTACTGAACATTCTTCAAATGTCTATCTTAGATGTGAAAGAAGACTGGAAATATCAAAAATCAATATGTAAATCCATCATTTTCTTTATGATTCCCACACCTCAACTCTACATGAAGTTCCTCCAAGTCCTTGTTTTATCCTGTTTAAAGAATAATTCTCCAATTTGCTATTGATAAAGGAGGAGTTCAGACACCTGGACTACATGGAACAAAAATTTGTTTAACTACTTCTCAATAGACTTTCAGCCAATATCCAGTATGTGGCCAATATACGCTTCTATGTATTCTCCTACTTCCTGAGGCTGTAGCAATTCTGCAATACAAATCAAGTTTCCCCTTGGCTTTCTTCATTGCCAACTTGGTAACCAGCATGCTCAGCCTTCAAGTCACTTATTACTTATTCCTCTGCTTTTCCGACTTCTAACTTTTTGTGCTTTGTTGACACTCCTATTTTCTTGGTACCTCTATAGTTATCTTCTGACTCTAGATAAACTAGGGGGCCAAGACTTCTGACTCTAGATGAACTAGGCAATACTGCCTCTTTCCAAGGTATCTTGCCATCTACTACCCAGCTACCCCCAATGCAGTTTGCATCTCAAATACAAAGCTCTGGGACACATCTGGTGTCTGAAAAGAGAATGGTTAAAATAAAGAGATTTAAACAGGATATGCTATGTCTTAGTTTTTGTTATAAAATTTAAAGTAGCTTTTTTCTTGGAGCTTAAGCATATATGATTAATAGCTCTAAAATTTTTTAGTTACAGTAGTAGTAATACTAGCATTTATTGGGCATTCACTGAACCAGATACTCTTGTCTAGTACTTTAGTGTTTTACTGAATCCTTGCAACTAATCTTGAAGGCAAGTATTTTGTCCTTACTTAATGAAATACTTGAGTTTTGGAAAAATGAAATATATCTTCCCGAGTTGCCCAAGCACATTTTGAACTGAGATTTAAACCCAAAGTTCAGGGTCTTTACCACCATAGTTCACCACCTCCAGGGGCTGCACACATCCATCTTTGCACAGACTACTGCATATCCATGATCTTAGAATTTGGTTCATTTAAAAAAATAATTATGTATCTATTTCATGAAGAAAATGAATCTCTTTATTTATAGAGAAATTGTATCACCCTGTCATAGCCGTTTCCAAAGGAATCTGTGCAAAATTGGCCAAGTCTAGATCTTTTAAATGTAAAGTCTTCCACAAATGAGTAAGCATCTGACTCACGTTAATTCTACAGCATTAATATGCTGGCCAAAGATTCAATAATGGAAAAAACAATCTGTACTTGAAATATCACTTGAGGTTTAATTAGCACAATAAAAATGAATTGGGAAGCATGAATAGCCAAGGCAGTATAAACCATTTGCCAGGCACTATTTCCTGGCTTAATACGTTTGAAATCAGCACAAGTGCATAGCAAAGCCCAGCAACACTTCCAATGGCTGCTAGCACTACCTTAATGGGACCCTGGCTCTAAGCAACAGAGCAGTCTTCGTGGCATAATGGAAACCTCATTAGAGATAACAGATGACTAGCTTCTCAGGCAGACACCTCTATGTCAGGTGTGTTAACTTGAATCTATTCAGGAAAGACATACTTACCTGTAGACCTCAGCAACACCAGTGCAAAAAAAAAGATTCTTTAGACAAGGGCACC